AGAGAAAGCAAGCCGCCAGGTCCAGGCCTCAAACCACAGCCAGCTATGTGGGAGTCCAACACCTTAACCACTATACCATCTGTTGGTCCCCTTTATTTATTGTTCTTCAATTTGACCAGAGAGAGCGAGAGAGAGAGAAAGGGAGAATGAGAAGGCAAGCTGCTAGGTCAGGAACGTGAACTGCGGTCAGCCATGTGGTTGTCCAGCGCTTTAACCACCATACCACCTGCTGGCCCCCTTCCAGCATAATTTATAAGCCACCAGGTTTGAGACTCGAACCACAGTCTCAGCCATGTGGGATCCAGCTACCTTAACCTCTATGCCACGTGCTGCCCCTAAAAAGTCATGATCATGCCCAAAGAAACGGACAATTATTCAACAAGTGGGCAACAGCATACTTTAAAAAAAAAAAAGTTCTGAGGCCAGTGGGTGGCATAGTGGTTGAGGCACTAGACTCTTACATGGTTGGCTGACTCTTACATGCCGGCTTGCTTTCTCACTCTCTGTCTCTACTGAGTGCATGTGCCCTTTAGCAAATTAAAATAACGACATTAAATAATTCTTCAAAAAGTTCTAAACTATACAAAAAAGTGCTCAAGTTAATTCTACAGCTTGGCATGTTTTAATAAGCATGTTAAATTCCATTTTCTGGGCATCAGCAGATGGTGTAATGGCTACATCGCTGGACTCCCATGTAGTTTACTGCGGTTTGAGTCCCGGACCTGGTGGCTTAAACTCATGCCAGAGCGTGTGCGTGCGTGCCCAAGATCCCGAGAAGAGAATGGAGGAGAAGGAATTGTGGCGTGGCTATCCCCCCCAGGGGGTGATTTCTCGCTTTCTGTTTCTCTGTCTCTGTCTTTCTGGTGAGCGCACGCTCCCTATAGCAGAAAAAAAGAATCCATTTTCCATGTCTGGTGCTGTCGAGTCATCTCTTGGAAATTATGTCATGTGCTTTTTTTAAAAAAAGAATTATTTTATTTAACTTTACTTATTATTATTATCGTTGTTATTTTCCAGTTTGATCAGAGAGAGAGTGAGAAAGTGAGAAAGCAAGCCACCAGGTCCAAGACTTGAACCATGGTTGGCCATGTGGGAGTCCAGCGCCCTTAACCACCACACCACTTGCCAGCCCCATGTAATGTGCTTTGATGGTGGTTTCCATAGGTTTAGATAGGAGGTTGCTGAAGACCAGGCAGGGAACAGACTGCCCTGCACGAGGCTCTCAGAAGTCTACAGTGAACCAGAGAAGGTTTTAGAAGCAAAGTGCAAGGGCTTTGAGCAAATAATGAATCCTAAATGTCAGTTTTCTTTTAAAATGGGGATTTTTTGGAACCAGCAGATGGCGTACTGTCTCTGGACTCCCATGTAGTCCACCGTGGTTTGAGTCCCGGATCGGGTGGCTTAAAATTCATGCAAGGCACATGTGTATGTGTGCCCTAAGTCCCCAGAGAATGGAGAAGGGATTGCGGGTGTGGATATCCACCTCCCACTCCCACACACTTCCGGGGGTGGTTTTTAGCTTTCTGTCTCTCACTGTCTCTCCAGTGAGTGCATACACCCTATAGCAAAAGTCTCTCTTAAAAAAAAAAAAGTTTTGGGACTAGCAGTTGGTGTAATGGCTATGTCACTGGATTCCCATGTAGTTGACCGCAGTTCGAGTCCCGGACCTGGAGGCTTAATCTCATGCCGGGCATGTGTGCATGTGTGCCCAAGATCTGGAAAGGAGAATGGAGGTGAAGGGATTGTGGCATGGCCATCCCCCCTGGGGGGTGATTTCTGCTTTCTGTCTCTGTCTAGTGCACACCGTGCCCTATAACAAAAACCTCTCCAAAAAAAAAAAAAAAAGATATAGGGACCGGAAGTTAGTGTACTGGTATGTCGCTGGACTCCCACGTAGTTGACCGTGGTTCGCGTCCTAAACCCGGTGGCTTAAAGCTCACGCTGGGCGCGTGTGTGTGCGTGCCCAAGATCCGGAGAGGGGAATGGAGAAGGGATTGCGGCGTGACCATCCCCCCTGGGGGGTAATTTCTTGCTTTCTGTCTCTCTGTCTGGCGAGCGCACGTACCCTATAGCAAAAACCTCTCCAAAAAAAAAAAAAAAAAAAAGATATTTTTAAAAAAAAGCTTGCAGGTTTGAGATGATATATAAAAGATAGATTTATTGCATGTATAGTATAAGCATACAGTATACAAGTACATTTACCATTATGTAACAATAACAAAACATTTATTTTCGTGTACCTGGCGCAGGACTGGTTTCATAAACTCTCCCATGTCATGTTTGAACGTGTGTTCAACATCTCGTTTGGCATTTAATTTTCTCATTCCATCATGGCTTTACCAAGCTCACTGTGGAGTTGAAGGCTAGAGAAGTTGACAAACTTAGCCAGAGTTTATCACAACACTTCGGTAACCGAGCTGGGATCTGAGCCAGGTCCTGCGCGGAAAATCCGGCTCCCTCTGGCGAAGTCTCCAGGAGACAGGCGCTTCTCCAGCCCGACTTCCTTGGGCCCCGGGGCTTTCCGTAGCGCACAGCTCCACCACCCCCCCTTCCAACCGCACAGGGGTCCACCTCTCCGCCGGCTCCTCTCAGCCAATCAATGCGAGCTTCAGATAAGGGGAGGCGGGGACAGGGCGGGGCTTTTATGGATATTGGCAGGGAGCTCCAGCCAGTAGAATGACGAGGTGCTGAGATAGACAGCGACCCTCTCCAATAGGCATAAGATTTGAGACCAGCGTGAGCCAATACGGGCGGGAGGCGGGGCTTGGGTGCGTGTCGAAGGGGCCGGGGGATTGTTGCCGCTATTGCGGCGTCGGACGTGTATATCTGCTGCTGGGGTTCTTGGCTGTAGAATTCGCCCCAGCCATGAGCTACACAGGTGGGCCTGGCACGGTTGGGGTCGGGGTCTAGGTGGGAGTCGGGACAGGGTTGGGCCGGGGCCACGGCGGACATGCTTGCGCCTCTTCTGAGGCTCCGGTCACTACCCTCTTGGCGGTCACAAAATGGCGCCGTGGGCTCGTCGCCTCAGGGTCGCGCACCTCACGCCTTGGTCTCCTCAGTCCCCTGTCCTTGTACCCTCGCGTCCCAGCTCCCACGCCACGGTGGTTTTGGCTTCAGTCGCCTGTGTCCGTGGGCCCCAAGGCTCGACGTCTGACGTCCCCGTTCCCGGCACCTCCGTGGCCAGCCGGTGCCCCTCGGATCTCGACGCCTCACAACGACGCCTTTTCTCAGGCCCGAGAGCCTTTCCAGTTCGGCCTGCGAGCTCGGCTGCTCGTCGCCATGGCCGCAGCCTCCTCCGCGCACTTTTCCTCTGCAAAATGCTGCAGCCCCCCCCTATCCACCCCCGCCCCCCAGTTTGCCAGCCCCGGAGCTGGGAGAAGCGCCAAGGCCTCAGGGGGATAAGTAAATATTTGAAAGGTCTGGGGCCGAGCTGAGAACCTTGGGCCCTTAGGGGCTGAGCTGGAGGCTCGGCGTGGCTTCCACATTCATTTACGCAGCGTTTGTCCGGGGTTCACCGTGTCAGGTGCGGACTAGGCGCTGGGAATACCGACAGAAATTCTAGCAGCTTATAGGCGAGGGCAGACCCTAATACGGCACATGAGGGAGTGTAGGGTCTATTTCGAGGTGTTTAGTATTCCTTGAGGGGGTGGGAGACGCCGGCGAAGAGGTGACGTTTGAGCAGAGACCTAATGGGTGTGAGGGAGTAAAACCATCCGCCTCAGGGACTGGACCTGCCAGGAAAGCCAGTGGGATTTGAGGATAAAAGGAGAAGGGTGGGCGGTAAGATCAGGGAGGAGGACCGGCCGGATATGCTTGGGCGGTTGTGAATTATCCCTGGCTGAATTGCCAAGAGTGCCTGGGTTTGCCTTGGCAATGACCAATGACGCTTCTCAGCCCCAAGCGGTGGACTGGGCCTCCCCCCCTCCTCCTTTGTTGGGGGTATTGCAGGCTGGAGCATGTGGGGTTGCCCGGTAACCCGAATGCTACTCGGAATGTTGAAAACAGAATGGAACCTGAGCCTCCTAGCTCTTGAGTCGACCACTTTTTTTTGGGGGGGGGGGGGGGGGGTTTTCGCTATAGGGTGCTTGCGCTCGCCAGAAAGATAGAGACAGAGAGATAGAAAGCGAGAAATCACCCCCCAGGGGGGATGGCCACGCAGCAATCCCTTCTCCATTCTCCTCTCGGGATCTTGGGCACGCACGCACATGCGCCCTGCGTGAGTTTTAAGCCACCGGGTCTGGGACTCAGACCGCCGTCGACTACGTGGGAGTCCAGCGACATAGCCATTATGCTAACTGCTGCTCCCTTGAGTCGACCACTTTTATGTTGGTCTGGACTTAGAAGCTTTTCCTAGCCTGGCTCCAAAGCCAGAGCTTACCTAGAACCCTGTTTTATTCTAATAGCCATCCTGTAGACCACTGATTCTTTTTTTTTTTTTTTTGGTATAGGCACATGTGCCCATCAGAGAAAGAGGGAAAGTGAGAAATCATCCCCCCCCCTTCCCCCTAGAAAGTAACTGGGCTGCAAACATTTCTCTTCCATTCTCCTTTTAGGATTTGGGGCATGCATGCACACCCAACTGGTATGAATTTCAAGCTGCTGGTCCAGGATTCAAACAGTGCAGTCAGCTATGTGGAGTCTAGCTCCTTAACTGCCACATCACTTGCTGGCCTGAGCCCAGTGGTTCTTGACTTGGGGCAGTTTTGCCCTCTACCCAGAGAACATTTGACAATGTCTAGAGACGTTTTTTGGTTGTCTCATCTGGAGATGGCTATGTTCCTGGCATCTGGTAGATACAGGCAGGGATACTGCTAAACATCCTATTACAGTACATAGGATGTTCCCCACCACAAAGAATGATCTGGCCCTAAACATCACTAAGCTAAAACTAGGTGCCTCTGCCCTAGACTTCGTATAGCTTTCCTAGTTCTAGAGAAAAGTCAATGGGGCTATTGCTCACATTTCTGAAATTGAAATGTAATTCTCTTCACCAAATCTGAAAGAACTGGACTATACTTATGTGGATTTCAGGGACAGGGCTGCTGAAGAAACCAGATGAATGGTTGGGTGCTATGGGGTAGCTTAATAATGGAGCATTTATTTTTATAGATGAGGAATCTGTGTTATAGAGGTCACGAATAACCAAGCCTGAATTTTAGTTCCAGATCTTATAGGCTGTAATTCTGGATTTGGGTGGGCACTGAGGTAGCCACGTGAATGAAGTAATGATTTTTTTTCTTTATAGTTGGCAGAGGGAGCTCCCACTTCTGCCCTAAGATAGGAAACAGGAAAACAAACAAACAAACCAAAATTAGGCCTTCAAACAAAGGTCTGAAATGTTACCAATATTTTTATGGAAATATTACCTCTCAGTTTCTTTGTGGTTTTTCATGAGGTTATATTAGGATGTCTGTCTGAATTGTAGTCTTTTGAAGGCTTGACTGGAGATGGAGGACCCACCTCCATGGTGTCCCAAACTCCCATGGCAGTTGTTGGAGCCTTGTCATGTGGACCTCACCATAGGGCTATTAGAGGGTCTTTACAAAATCGTAGCAAACTGAGTGATTCAAAAAAGAGCAAAGTGGAAGTCTCAGAAATCATACTAAGTCATTTCCACAAATCTTACTGGTTATGCTGGCTATCTCTGTTAGTGTATAAGAGGTATAAGAGGACTACATTACGTCAATTTTAATCAGAGGCAATCTTGGAGGATGATTGCCACCCTATGGCTAGCGTGGGTGATAGTAGAGGTTAGAGGCAATTTAACCTAACTCCGAGTGAGAGAGAGACAGAGAAATACAACACCCCAACGAGGTCCCAGCACCGAGATCCATCCTCAGCTTCAATAGGCTGGATCTTGGACACAAATATGCCTGGTATATGGAAGGTCTGCAGATGCAAGCCAGTATCCTTCCCACTTGATTCTGCTGTGCAGAAAGTTGCATTTTACCTCTGGACCACCATCTGTCTGTCCTCAAGTTACCTTCTAATTTTTACCACTATGATTCCTTCAGTGAATATTTTTTTTTCTTGTTTTTTTGTTTGTTTTCATTTTGTTTTTCCTTCAAGGGAGAAAAATAACACTGAGATGCTTTTGTCCTTTTTTTTTTTTTGAGAGTTTTTTTCACTATAGGGCGCGTACGCTCACCAGACAGACAGAGAGAGACATAGAGACAGAAAGCGAGAAATCACCCCCGCCCC